ATGTCTCCTCTTCCTGTGGAGTCTAATGTTCTACAAAATGGAACACTGGTTATAAACAACATCAGGGAATCACACCAAGGAAATTACACCTGCAGAGCGACTAATGCTTTGACAACAATAGAAGCCAAAGTTAAAATCATCTTTCGTAATATTTCGTCTTGTTCTGTGATAAGAAAATACGTCAGTAGCGCAAACGGAAATTACGTCATTGATCCAGATGGCGAAGGGGGACTGGCACCTTTCACGGTATATTGTGACATGACTGACAAGAATGGAGTTGGCGTGACTGTCATTAGTCACGACAGTGAAAGTAGAACACATGTGAACGGATGCGAGCCTATAGGCTGTTATTCACGAGACATTGATTATACCGGAGCGAGTTTGTCTCAGCTCGCAAGTCTCACCAGTGTCTCCTCACAGTGTGAACAGTTTATCAAGTATGAGTGTCATGATTCAATACTAATAAGACGGAAGGGAGGTGAACACGGATGGTGGGTGTCACGCGACTCCGCTAAAATGACGACCTGGGGTGGAGCATCACCTGGAAGTGGTAAGTGCGCATGCGGGATGACTAACTCCTGTGCAAACCCCAGTTATCCATGTAATTGTGATAAGAATGACTTTGTATGGCGTGAAGACAGCGGTCTGCTCACTGAAAAGACACATCTACCAGTCAAACAGCTCAGGTTTGGTGACACAGGTGATGGATCAGAAGAAGGATATCACACTCTGGGAAAACTTAAATGCTATGGAATAGCATGAGCAGTTAACATGGAAGCAGTAAAAAAAATTAATAGTCAGTCAAACCAACCTTATATTTCGTTGAAAGTTTGGCTTTTAAGTTAGACTGTTCCTGAAACAGTATTAGAGAAAGTATTGATTTCAGATATATTCCTTTCTGACATGAGTAAATTTTCTTGATACTTGAGTACATAGTTCTATTGTGTGAAGTAACCACTCTGTTTTTTTTTTTTACATTGACTTAATTTCGAAGATTTTAAGTGCACTCCAATTTACTTAAATAGTTTATGGAATTATACGAGCAACTCATCTCACCTCCCGCTTCAATTTTCTATATTAACGACAGTTTCAGGATGTGCTTTGTTACGGACCGTGGAGTTGACTAGTCAGCTCTAGTGGCGTTCTAAGATTGTGGCGCAACTCGCAAAAGTTAAATGCTATGAGAGGGCATGTACGCTTCAATTCAAATATAGATTAGAGTGTTTCCCGAAGCTTAGTTAGTCAAAAGCTGAAAACATCCTCAGAACATTTTAAGAATAGGAATAATAAAATCGCTTCTCATGTTCCTTTAGTCAGTATAGGCAGGGTAAAACGCTGTTAGCTAGAACTTCAAAAAGTTCTTGTTAACCATTGTTTCATTTAAAAGGCTTTAACGTGAATGACTGTAGTTTTATTTGCGTTCTAACAGAAATAACTACTTAAAGTACTTTGCGAAACTTTAGAGTTTCATTTTTTTTCACAACTACTGCGTTGCAACTTTCTTAAGCTTGAAGGCTTCAATGGCTTCGCCAAAATTATATAATTTGCCTAATTTGCACGTCAACTATAGTGTCCACTTGTAGTCTATCAAGGAATATGTTAAAACTCGCTGAGAAGTCCCTGTGTCCTGTCCCTTGTGACCTACCAGAAATCTCGAGGCACCACTCAAAACTCGCGCTAAAACTGAATTGAACATACAAACAAAGTGGACGAAGTGAGACGCGTGGTCTAGCGACTACACCTTTGAGATAGCTACTGCAGTGCTTTGAGCAGTTATTTTAAGATTCACGTTATTTACTTTGCAGGTTCATAAAAATTTCATGCATGACATTCTCCATCGCTAACTGCAACTTAAATACAAACAATTGAGCCCTGGCTGACATTCCTTCCAAACCAGCATTACTTGGTGGAGTGTTTTTTTATGTAGTTAATAAGACCATTTGTTGAAGAATCGTGTGACGTCACTGGTTCAGGGCCCTCCATCTCCGGCTGAATTGCTTTAGCAAGCTGTTTGCCTAATTCAACTCTGTAAGAAAGAAAAATCCAGAAAAAGAAACTGAATTATTTATTCTCCTCACTGTTTACTAAACAAAATGTCATAAGGAGAACTTTCCTATTTGCCATTCCTTACACGGGAGTTTTACTGGATAAAAGGGTAATTCAGTATAATCAATAGAATTGATAACATATATTGGCCAAGGAATCGAGTCAGCATTCGCCTACTTTTCTTCAAAAGCACGTCAGTGAGTAATTTAGGCTGGCACATGAAAGCCACAAGTCGCGCGTGTCTGATCACTGCCGCGTGTCTTACTCGCACCCGGTCACTTTGAAAGTATAGAAAATAGCTCTCACAATCACATGATATTCAAATCATACATCTCATGGAAAAGATAACCTTAAACTATACGAGCAAATCACCACTGGAACATGTATATATTCCGAAATATGAACATTTTACACCTAAGATTAACAGAACTTTCTCACTCCTGTGTGCCCGTTGTACTTTCCAGCGTTCTCTGACGTTTTAATCTTGCATTGGACTTGCTTTGCCATCACTGTTATTTCAGTTACAACAGGAAGTAATTTGATCATAGTCTAATACCTCTGGTAAATTGAAGATGAAATCAGATGCGATCTGTTCAAGCAAAACTCTTGACTAAACGTTAAATAACTCTTAATACGCGTGACTGTTCGTGACTGACATTATTACTACAACAGAGTGTGTCTCATGAGACGTCACAACAGGTCTCATGAGTAAGTATTGTAGCACAACAGGAAGTCAAAATGTTAATCGATCCGTCACGTCCTTAGGGACTTTATAAATACATTCGTGACTGAAGTGCTTATCTTGTTAGTTTATTCGAGCACTAGATCTTCCATAAACCGGCCGATCGTCTTCTCAAAAGTCAAGATACATTGATCAATATATGTCTATGAATTTGAGATATCTTTTTGAAAGCTGTAACAATGAAACAACATGGAAAAGCAGAGAAGCAAATGAACAGAACACAGATGTTGGAGCGCTTGTGTTCCGGGTCAAGTTTGCTGTTGTCCCTTTTATGTTTTATTGCGTGGATTAACGTGGAACTCAGAATACAAGAACACCATCGACTGATATCACACTCAGCAAAGTTCTGTGATAAGATAGAGACAGAAATTACACGAAAGATGCAGAAGAATTACGCACGTTGGCAACTTGAGAATATAAGGAAAGAGGAAGATGGTAAGTTTTGCTGTGATAGCCGTCATCTATTCCCAGTCTGTTACACCAATGTTCCACGCATACTTTTGCCTTGGTGATTCAGCATTTGACACTTTACAGTCTAGGAAAAAGATCACTCTTAAGTAAAACTTTTCTTTACATAACACTTTTCATTTAAAAAAAAGTTTCCTCGCGAGTAAAGTTAAATTTAGCCACGGAACTGTGGGTTAAAATTCATAATCTGTGGTTGCAGAATTATTTTCCTTGATAGTAAACGTCAAAATTTAAATTACAAGATAACATTTCCATTTCTTTGATGTCAATGAATATGAGAAACAGAGCCAATCTTTGATATTTTCAGACGGGCAGGAAGATATATCGAGAAAGAAACGCTTTACACAGGATTATTTACAACAAAACTCTTCCCCAGCATCCTATTTTGTGCAAAAGCTGATCAAACAAGTGCTTGGTCTGCTGCAAAACCAAATCCGCGCAAAAAATCACACACTTTGCCAAGCAGGACAAAAAGGTAACAGAGGAAGACGAGGAAGACCGGGAAACCGAGGGAAACTGGGTCCTCCCGGAAGAACTGGCCCAGAAGGACCACCTGGTAAATATGGACCTATAGGATGTCGGATTACCAGGGAGCCCCGGTTACTTGGGACCACGAGGGCCACCGGGAGAGAAAGGAGCCACAGGTAAGCCCGGTAAGTCCCTCTCAGCGCCATCTCTGACTGAGCGACCCATTGGAATGACAGTCAATGAAAGTCAGACAGCCATGTTGAAATGTAAAGTGAGTGGTAACCCAAGGCCAAAAGTCAAATGGTCTAAGGTGAGATCATCGCTTCCTGTTGGACGTCACATGGTAGAGTCCAGTGGTACGCTGATTCTAAAAGACGTTAGACCTGGGGACGACGGAGTTTACGGCTGCAAGGCAGAGAGTTTGCTGGGACAAGTCAACACTTCAGCAAAATTAACTGTTCAGTGTAAGTCTTACAATTTATGTTTGAAAGTCATCAAATGAAACAGTTCATCTGACACACTGAGAGACATTCCTTGCCGGCAGTTAAGGCTTCCAAAGTTGAACCTTAATCCTTAAAAAGAAATTGACTTTTTTTCTCATTTGATCCTGTAAAAAAAATAAAGTTTGAAATTGGGTGTTATTTAGCTAAACTATGACATTACAGTTTCCAGTGTTAACGATTCTTGATAAAGGAATTATATCTGCGTTTTCTTTTCCACAGTCGTCCCTAAACTTAGGTTATCATCAAGCCGATTAGTGGCTTGATGATAACCTAAGGTGTTTTCCTTGATAGGTAGCTTTCAAACTTCAAATTACAAGATTAATAACATTTCCATTTCTTTGATGCAACGAATATGAGAAACAGAGCCAATCTTTGATATTTTCAGACGGGCAGGAAGATATATCGAGAAAGAAACGCTTTACACGGGATTATTTACAACAAGACTCTTTCCCAGCATCCTCTTTTGTACAAAAGTTGATCGAACAAGAGCTTAGTCTGCTGCAAAACCAAATCTGCGCAAAAAATCACACACTTTGCCAAGCAGGACCAAAGGGTAACAAGGGAAGACGAGGAAGACCAGGAAACCGAGGGAAACTGGGTCCTCCCGGAAGAACTGGCCCAGAAGGGCCACCTGGTAAATATGGACCTATAGGACCGCCGGGGCCGATGGGAATAAAGGGGGATGTCGGATTACCAGGGAGCCCCGGTCCCTTGGGACCGCGAGGGCCACCGGGAGAGAAAGGAGCCACAGGTAAGCCCGGTGAGTCCCTCTCAGCGCCATCTCTGACTGAGCGACCCATTGGAATGACAGTCAATGAAAGTCAGACAGCCATGTTGAAATGTAAAGTGAGTGGTAACCCAAAGCCAAAAGTGAAGTGGTCTAAGGTGACATCATCGCTTCCTGTTGGACGTCACATGGTAGAGTCCAGTGGTACGCTGATTCTAAAAGACGTTAGACCTGGGGACGACGGAGTTTACGGCTGCATGGCAGAGAGTTTGCTGGGACAAGTCAACACTTCAGCAAAATTAACTGTTCAGTGTAAGTCTTACAATTTATGTTTGAAAGTCATCAAATGAAACAGTTCATCTGACACACTGAGAGACATTCCTTGCCGGCAGTTAAGGCTTCCAAAGTTGAACCTTAATCCTTAAAAAGAAATTGACTTTTTTTCTCATTTGATCCTGTAAAAAAATAAAGTTTGAAATTGGGTGTTATTTAGCTAAACTATGACATTACAGTTTCCAGTGTTAACGATTCTTGATAAAGGAATTATATCTGCGTTTTCTTTTCCACAGTCGTCCCTAAACTTAGGTTATCATCAAGCCGATTAGTGGCTGAAGAGAAACAAAACGTCACTATTGCCTGCAATGCTGTTGGTCAGCCGCGGCCAAGCATCACGTGGTCTAAGTCAGTGGGTAGTCTGCCGAAAGATAGGACTGAAGTGAGGAATGGAACGTTAAAAATCTATAGTTTGGCGAGAGAGGACAGTGGAATTTTTATCTGTAAGGCAGAGAATACTTTGGGATCAGCGACATACACTGCTCATCTCGTGGTATTTACTCCTCTGAAGTTCAAAGTGCGTCCTCCTCAGGAGGTGACTCTGTATCCTCCTCTTTATGTGCCATGTACGGCCGAGAGTGACCTGAGGACTAAAATCACTTGGACAAAGGATGGCATGTCTTCTCTTCCTGTGGAGTCTAATGTTCTACAAAATGGAACTCTGGTTATCAGGAAATCACACCAAGGAAATTACACCTGCAGAGCGACTAATACTTTGACAACAATAGAAGCCAAAGTTAAAATCAACCTTCCTATTCCTTCGTCTTGTTCTGTGATAAGAAAATACGTCAGTAGCGCAAACGGAAATTCCGTCATTGATCCAGATGGCGAAGGGAGACTGGCACCTTTCACGGTATATTGTGACATGACTGACAAGAATGGAGTTGGCGTGACTGTTATTAGTCACGACAGTGAAAGTAGAACACATGTAGCGAGCGAGTTTGTCTCAGCTGGCGAGTCTCACTAGTGTCTCCTCACAGTGTGAACAGTTTATCAAGTATGAGTGTCATGGGTCAGTGCTGATAGGAGGGATGGGAGGTGGGTACGCATGGTGGGTGACACGCGACTCCGCTAAAATGACGACCTGGGGTGGAGCATCACCTGGAAGTGGTAAGTGCGCATGCGGGATGACCAACTCCTGTGCAGACCCCAGTTATCCTTGTAACTGTGATATGAATGACCTAGGATGGCGTGAAGACAGCGGTCTGCTCACTGAAAAGACACATCTACCAGTTAAACAACTCAGGTTTGGTGACACAGGTGATAAACCAGAAGAAGGATATCACACTCTGGGAAAACTTAAATGCTATGGAATAGCATGAGCAGTTAACATGAAAGCAGTTAAGAGGAAAAAACAAAGCCAACTTTTAATTTAGTTGAAAGTTTGGCTTTAGACTGTACGTGAAACAGTATTAAAAGAAAGTATTGATTTCAGATATCTTTCTTTCTGGCACCAAAGTACATTTTCTTGAGTTGAAAGCGCAACTGATCTTACCTTCCACCTCAATTTCATATATTAACGACAGCTTCAGGGTGTGCTTTGTTACGGACCGTGGAGTTGACTGATCAGTTCTAGCCGCGTTCTAAGATTGAGACACACCTCGTAAAATTGAAAGAGTGTTTAGAGTGTTTCCGAAGCATAGTTCGTCAAAACGGACAACATCTTTAGAACATTTTAAGAATAGGAATAATAAATTCGCTTTTCATGTTTCCTTTTCTCAGTATAGCCAGGGTAAAACGTTGTTAGCAAGAACTTTAAGGCTTTTAACGCAAATGACTGTAGTTTTATTTGCGGTCCAACATAAATAACGACTTTAGTTCTTTAAGAAACTTTAAAGTTTCATTTTATTTTTATTTCACAACCTATACGTTGCAACTTTCTAGACCTTGTAAGCTTCAACAGCGTCGCCAAAATTATATCAAGTTGTCTAGTTTGCTTGTAAATTATAGTGTCCTCTTGTAATCTATCAATGAATATGTAGAAACTTGCTGAGAAGTTCCTCTTGTCCCTTTTGATCTACCAGAAGCCTCAAAGCACCACTCAACACTCGTGCCAAAACTGAATTGAACATGCAAACATCAGGGAAGAAGTGAGGTACACGGTCCAGCAGTTACACTATTCAGATAAACACTGCAGTGCTTTAAGTAATTATTTTAAGATTCACGTTATTTACTTTGCAGGTTCATAAAAATTTCATACATGACATTCCCCATCGCTAACTGCAACTTAAATACAAACAATTGAGCCCTGGCTGACATTCCTTCCAAGCCAGCATTACTTG